AAAGGTATTTTTAATCTGAAAAGAGCTTCACTGAGTGAGAAGTATTGGAGCTCAGCAGACAGTTTCAGTTTCACTTTCAGTTTCACCGGAGAGCCTGCAGGAGTTATGGGCGGGGTGTGTGGGGAGGGGGCGCCACGCTATGAGGAAGTTCGGCTTAAAGACACGTCCCAGGGGCATTTCTGGCCCCCAAAGGCGTTTCTGGTCCCCACCTGTCGTTTTGCTCCTCAGCATGGCTGCCTAAAAACGCTGCAGGATTTCTCAAACATGCATGAATGAGTCAAAGCAAGGCTTTGGGCATGTTTTTTTTATTATGAGAGTATAACATTATAACATGATATAAAACTCAAAAAATTTATTTTACATGACATTGCCCCTTTAAAAATAAACACCTCCAACAAAGTCCTGTTAATCCAGTACAGATTTAATACAGCCCAATTCCCATACTCCTGTTCAGAAATATGCACCAAAAACTTAGCAGAACATTCTTTTCATGTGAGACCACTAAAGAGTAAGAATGAAACTCACGCTATGCGTCCTTCAGTAAAAGGACATGAAAACAGGAATGTGGTTAGACTGCAAACTTAAAGTTCTTAAAGGTGGTATTTCACCAAGTTGTTACTGGAAACTAGGTGGTGACTCAAAACTGCACCAAAACCGGCAGATTTTCAGTTGCAGCCTCACTTTATTCTGAGTTTTTGAAAGCACAATACCAAAAAGCTGTGCATCTGCATTGTGAATATCCAATTATTGAAAATTACAGCTTATTTTTTGTGTGCAGTTTCCACATCTAGGCCGTGTGCATAATTTCATTGTCCACATCATACCCACCATGGCCCACGTTCTATCCATGCTGGTAACTACCCTTACGTTTATCATTTATTCTAGTATACAAGTGTAAAATGAAGGTTTGTACAAACAATTTAAACAGAATTTATCATCAGCTTGGTTGTCAGACCCTGACATGTTTTCTGTCATGAGATAGGCTTAGAGATGCCTGAGACAAAATCCTGAAGGGCTCGGGACACCTGCAATGACTCTGTGATAAATTTGTTGAACATGTTCAAAATTTAAGTGATAAAACTGCAAAATCTCTGCAACTCAAGCAAGGAAACTGTCATCTCCTGAGATTGAGAATGTTTCGGGACATTTTGTAAACACAAATGATACATGCCCAGTGAGGTTAGTAACAGACGGATTAATCATCTGATCAGTTTTAATTGGTTGATACCGGTCACCTTTTTAAAATAGTCAATCGGCCATGCCTGTGCATATTAATCAGTTACCAAACAGTCAAATGATGATGCAGCAGTAGATGTTACAACCAGATTACTATAGCCCACAATTTAGATTTTTTTAGGCAAGAAAGCTCATATATATATATA